ACACATGTCCAGACCTATATATATATATATATCTAGGGCTTAGAGTTAAGATAGCAAGGGGATTCTGGATACCCTAAACCCAAACTGCAGGTGCCGTTACACGTAGTTCAAGCTATGGTCTTACCAGCATCAGAAGCTTCAGCGTTTTGTGCCTAATTTTCATAGCGCGGCTCCTTTGAACTCTCAACCCCAACTCTTGCACCCTTTCTTCCTATTATTGATCTCATTTCAAAGTATTATTATTGTTATTCATTGTACTACTATTGTTGTTTTTCTTTGCACTATTTTTTGTTTTATTACTACAATTCTTCTTCTTGTTGCTTTTCTTAATAACCTGGACTGACTTTCAACCTCGAACCGCCCCCTGGAACCCGTGAAAGAGCCGCAAGAGCCCACGACATGAATCCGAACCATCCAAGCCGTTATAAGCCAACTCCAGTAGGGGAACCTGGAAGTAATCCCTATATAACTCAATATAACCCCTACATAGTCTTTTAAATAATCCCTATATGACCCCTATATAATCTGTCTATAACCCCTAAGTTTCCCAGATCTAAGATACCATCTCTACAGCTCCAGTATGGAAACCCAAACAAGACCAGACCTGCTGCGCAACTCGACAGGAACAAATGAGTTATTATATTCCTTATCTAAAATACCATACCCAAAAGGAGGGTATAATCTTACTCTATATTGGGTACCATGGTATTCCCAAATGAAATACTACTCAGATTGAGATACAATGATGGCTAGCATTGTAGGTTTTGCTTCCCCTCACCTGCCTATTGTTAAACCGTATAAATACCATATTATAGTATAGTTGCTTCCTATTTCTTTTCCACAACCCCTATATAAACCCTATGTCGAGTTATCGGCCTTGAGGATCTTGCTGGCCAAGATGACGAGCGAGTCCGCATCAAAGGGATGCTTCAGCGTCGTCATCTGCGGGGTGATTCAAAGTCATGGGTGCCTTGTTTGAAGGAGGTGTTTGCGGATGTCTGCGGGTTAGGGTTTAGGATGGTTTAGGGTTTAGTGGGCTGCATAGGGGAAAGGCTTTGGATGCATGACTTAGGGTGCAAGGTTGGAGTTGTCAGAATTGAAGAGCCACGCCAGTTTAGGATTTAGGGTTTAGGATTTAGGGTCTAGGGTTTAGGGATATCCGGACTTCCGCAGCCAAAGCCAGCGTCAAAGTTCTGAAGCTGTAAGCATCCTTTCACTCCAGGGCTTTAATCCCCTCCCCCTCATATCAAACACCCCATCCCCTAATATTACGTAAATATGCCCAATATATTATGGTATCAAACCATGAGGGAGCATTTAATACTAGGGGGGTGGGGGGCCCTCAACCCTGAACCCAAGACCCCAAACCCTAAACCCTAATCCCTGAAGCCTAAACCCTAAACCCTAATCCCTAAACCCTATAATATTGGGGGGTTGGGGGTTCGCATCTTGGTGACAGAAGGAGCACTGCAACTCTCCCGTCCGCCTCGTAGAGGACTACGCCCAAACTCCAGATGTCACTCTTGAAGTTATAGGGCCGGTCCTTTAGGGTTTAGGGTTTGGGGTTTAGGGTTTAGGGCACAAGAAGATGGAAGCTATAATTCAGGGATTCTATAGGGTTAACGCTACCCGCCCTGTTCATGGTTTAGGGTTTAGGGACTAGGGCTTAGGGTTTAAGGGTTTTAGGGTTACTACCCTCCCCCAAAAGTGAACCCCAAATAACACCTAACCAGGACTTTTTGAGCGTCATTGGGCCTTGTCTGCGAGGGGAGTAAGGAGGGGTGTAGTAAAGGAATATAGGGCTTTAGGGTTTAGGGTTTTGGGGTTTAGGGTTGAGGGTCCCCATTAAACCAAGGAGTCGGAAAATTTGGAGCAATGTCTGGTAGACCGTCAGTTAGAGTCCCAGAGAAAACTCTGTATTTCCTGGGTTGCTGTTTCATAAGAAACTTAAACTAAGGTACCATTGTATGGGAACATAGCGAATAGCAGGGTTTCCGTATTGTTTACCTCAGTTTAAAGTCCTGAATAGCAACCCAGTTTCACCTTGATCCCGGTGCAAACCAAATTCACCGCATTGCTGACGGGGTGTTGGTTAGGGAATGGAGGAATTGATTGCAATGGTAACCCCTGTTATACCTCCCCCTAAATTTTACTCTCCGGATTCTTTTCCATTCCATAAACCCTAAGCTCTTAACCTTAAACCTAAACAGTAGCCTTTATTCTCTCTTCAATTCCTCTAAACCCAAAACCCTAAGCCATTCCTTTCTAAGAATCAGGAAGATTGAAACCTGGAGGAGCCCAAACTCTCCTCGATGATCTCAGGACTCAAGTAGTACGGCGTCCCCACCTCAGTGACGGGGATAATGGAAAAGAAGATGGAAACTACTATATTATAGGGATTATATAGGGTTTATATAGGGGATAACTACTATAATGTGTTATATAGGGGTTATATAGGGTATGTATTTTGGTTGTAATGGGAAATTGAAAAAGAAAATGGAAACTACTACAATATATTGGGAGTCATGTTGGAAGGCGTGGGCACCCTTTGCGAGATTCGCAAAAATTGGGGACTTTTTTGGGGGAGTCTCTATAACCGGAAGTAAAATATATGACAGTCCCAATTGACGCCCGCTATTTGTGGAAGCCTCATTTGGATTTAGAAAAGCTCTTCATAAACACTGCCAGCATTGTCCGAAAGCTCCACTCTGCCACTGAGCATTGAAAAGAGTGCCGTCTGTGAGGGGCATGCCATCGTTCGTGCGTAGTCCTGCCATGACATGACGGCCCAGTGGACATGTTGCATGGTCGGACTGAAGGGGATGTTGTGTTAAAACTGCATCGCTTGGAGAATCCCGAAACGCCATGCAAGCAAAACCAGGTGATGAGACTGCATACGCTTGAAAACGGAGTATGGTTCAGCGTCAAGTCCTGAGACAAGAGGGCTAGACCCACCAGCAACAAGGCATCCCAGTAGCCAGCACCATGTTGATTGATACACACGGCTTCCAAAAACTCCTCGTAACGGCATGCTGGTGCGGAGTCTACGGGCATGCCCCATCACCAGCATATTGACACTCAGTGTCCCAATCATAAGCTGCATGTTTCAGCCAGCGCACGTTTCAAGTTGCATGCTATATAGTCCATCTCCAAACAGCATACCGCCAAAGAGAAAGCTCTCAGATGTTCTTATTGCACAAGCCAAACTGCTGCCGCGGCTGGTCTTTCAACTTTTCTGGTTCTGCTGCTCTTGCTAGGATTGGCTGCAGCAGACGGTCTTTTCTATCGCAGTTACCAGGACTCCGGCACGAAAGCACGAAAGTTGCTTGCTTCTTTGCAACTCTGTTGCTACATAGCAACCAAAAGGGTTCAGCAACTGCTTTAGAAAGTTCTCATGCAGAAAGGGGTCGCCCCAGTTCCCCACGCAACCCCGCGCACCTTGGTGGCATCCAGCACCCGCGCGATTCCGAAGTCTCCGAGCTTCACGTGTCCTAGACCCGCGAAAGCACCCTTTTCAGAATTCTGGGGGTCCTGTTCCGAGGGTCCCTGCAATGAAGATCCTCGTATTTCAGAGAAGAAGTCCTCCATTTCGAGTTATCAAAACTAAGCTCCTGATAAGGGCCCTGCAGCTTGACACCCTTTGAGACCTAGCCATGCAGCCTCCGAGGAAGATAATTGTTCCCACAGTGCATTCTGCAGATGAAATTTGCTTGAAGTATAGCAACAAGCATCAGAATAGGATAACACTTTCTTTTCAAAATTGGGAAGTCTTCGACAGCTCTAGGGAAATACAAGGCTCGTCAATGATTGCAGATGCCCTTCCTAAGGACTACTTGGGGGCAGCTTTAAGAAAACACCTTCCCAATCCGACCGCTGTACCCCCATTGCGCGACCCTAAATCCTAAAGGCAGGAAGACCAACGACCTCACAGCTACCTTACCTTGGGGGTAATTAGGATTATGGTTATTGGGCGTCTCTGTTGGAGTGCCCTTGTTTTGTTTGGGAAGCGATCCCTCGCCCCTACAGATAGGCTTACCCAGCTCTAAGCCCGCATACCACATCGTGAATCCAGCGTGTTCGAACCTAATTCAAACAGAGTTTTTCATAGACAGGGGAAATGACCAAACACTAACCCTCACTGTAGGGATTCTCAGATTGGGAGCAACAGTTTTTGAAACACCCGCATTCCATCAGATTAGGTGTCGGGCTTTTCAGCCCTCGTATGGCTGATCTGATTGGGGCAGGATGGATCCTTTTTTTGAGACATGAGACCGCCCTGAAGCTTAGGCCCGCGCCATTGGACATGAGGAAGATGTTCTGGGTTTTCAAGTCTCTGTGTAGTACCTGGTTACCCATTTCCAGTTCCGGCTAAGAAACGTGCAAAAATTGGCCGTGTCTTGTACACAGTGCGGTGCGCATTCGACCAGCCCAATTCAACAAACAGTTAAACAAACCCTATATGACCCCAGTCTAGTAGTTTCCATGTTCTTTCCGATTATCCTTATATTACCCCGCTATATACATCTCGGGGAGCAAATCTATTTCCCGTGAGCTGGAGACCCCTAAAGCCACTTCGAAAGTCTGACCTTTCGAAGCTATCCCTCTTGAAGTGCTGCCCAGGTTAGTCAAAGGTTGCAAGGAGCTGTGCTCCTGCTACGACACTCCCGAATCCATCCCACCTGGCTCTTCTTGCTTTCATGCGGGTCATAATTCAGAAGGACCTTTTACGACCAAAAATCCAGGTTTGATGCTTGGGAGTGAAGCCCTTACACACCTGATGAGAGCGGCTTTGAAGCAGCAGAATGTTGCTTGGCGCACTTTCCGCTCGTGCACATGCTTCAGGGCAAAGCAGGTCTGCACGAACCACTCAAGGATCTGCTCCTGCTGGGCAGTCCCTGCTGGTGGAGGAACAATTCTGTAACGGAATAGAGGGTTTTTCTTGCAGGAATATACTGAAGGACCATAGGAATAGGTGGGGATTACAGAGGGATTGCGCATGCCAGTTACGGATTTTATAGGGATTGCTCGAGAAACTCCCGCCGTAATGAAATTTGTCGTAGCAATAAGCATGGTAGTGGTAGTCGTAAAAGCACTGCAAGTGCACGCCTCAAGGCTCACTGTGAGGAACCGATGGCCCTCTACCGCCGCCTCCCACCAACAACCAGAAGAAGATTTCCCTGGAAGCACAACAACTTCGAGGCACTTCGTTTGCCTGCATGTGGGGGTTTCAGAAAAAGTAAGGCCCCCCCTATACTGCCCAAAAACACTGTGGTCCTGAGTATTCGTGAACAACTATGCAACTGGCCTTTGCATGCGGGCCTACCACTAGAATGTGTACTCAGTGTACTTCAAGTCTGTTGACCCTGCTGCCTACATGGGGGGTTCCCAAAATTAGGGGTGCGAACGTTTGAAGGGTTACAATAATCATTATTAAAACGTTTTGGGGTCTATGTTGGGGTCCCCTCATTAAGGGAAACTACCAAAAGGAAGCTTCCACAAACCTTGAGTGGAACCATAGATTTTTGAAACCCCTAAATCCTACACATCCCTGTAAATCTCCAGTTTCCATCCAATTTGATTCTCCATTGCAACCCTACATACTGCTATTTACCCTAAACCCTAAACCCTAAAGCCAATTCCTTATACATCCCCACATCATCCCTACAGCGCTACACAAACTACAAACCCTAGATGAGCAATAGTCTAAACTCCGAGTATCCCCCTTAACAACCCCTACAGTAGTCCCCTACTTCATCCCCTATATAACCGCCTTTTAGGAGTTTAGACTATAGCTCAGATGGGAACCCAAAAACAGCCTGTATACAAAAACTGGCTTCCCCAACGTGCAGCACTGATATAATTGCTATAATCCTCACGATGGTAATAATCGTAATAACGAATAGGAATAATCATACTAATGATTCTAGTAGTAGTAATAATAAGATCCCATGTCTCCTCGGGTAGGAGCGCACCCTGACAAAGGGCAGGGCTTGGGTGCGGGGTCCAGAGTTTAGGGTTAAGGTTGTTGTTTTAGACGCCGGGGTCAGAGCTTAGGGTTCATGATTTCGGATTTTGGGTGGTAGGGTGCATCGTTCGCAACTCATGCTTCAGCTTGGCAACACCGCACCACCAAGTGGCAACTTATTAGTGCATACAATCACAGACAACATAAAGACGAATATGAACAGCAATGATGGTCAGAATTTCTAGTCATAGTAATTTAAGAATGATAGCAATAAGCTAGAGAAATGATCTCCAATAGAAGCTCCATTCATTCCCCCACCCCGCATTCCCCCACCCCGTCTTCAGCACCGGCAAGGCAGACGCATGGCGAAGCTGTTTATAATCTCCCTCGGGTAGTTAGAATATGGCTTTGGGCATATCATAATAAGATCCCCATATACCCCATATTCTATCTACCATAATACAGCCACAATATACTACAATCTACCATAATATACTACAAGATCCCATAATCTATCTACTTAAAGGGGGACTGTATATCTAAAAGGCCGCCTCGCGGTTCTTGATCTTCATGTGAACATCTCCACCATCGGCATAGTCCATGACCTTTGATTTGCTCCTAGGGTTTTGGGTTTGTAGGGTTCAGGGTTTAGGGTTTAGGGTTCAGGGTTTAGGGTTTGGGATTTAGGATTCAGGGTTCAGGGTTTAAGGTTTAGGGTTTGTAGGGTTCAGGGTTATTGGTAATCATGTAGGCCCCTAAACCCTATTATAATATAGTAGTTTCCATTTTCTTTTCCATTATTCCAATATAACCCCTATATAACCCTACATAAGTCGGGGAAACAGCTTCTTAGACCAGACTTTTGAACAACAACTGTACGTCCGGCCCTGGTACCACGCTGCCCCCACATGCGGTTTCCACGTGAACCATAGACCAACCTTGTTGTGAAGATCTGGTATTATGGGAGCCCTAAACTCCTAAACCCCAAAGCCCTAAACCCCTAAAATGCTGGACCCTAAACACAGGGATCTACCTTTTCGTTAGGGAGGAACAAGTCTAGGACTGCTCCTGGCCAATGGAAACAACCCTGGGAAGGCGCCCAGAGGTCAAGCTCATCAAATGCAAGACTACTTACTGGGGCCTAGTAAGGAATAAGGGAATACATATATACATATATATATATATATTTATTTACTTATTTACTCTTGTTTATGTATTTGGGGAAACTAAGTTGGGAACAAAGGAAGCTTCTATACAGGGGTTATGCTGGGATTACATTCCCTTATTCCCTACTGAGAACCAGTAAGACTAAGGGCACTGCAATACAGAGGCGATGCTTTCTGGTGATGAACACCTGCAGACTTTCAGGTGTGGCCAAAAGGGCTTCAAGAATGATTCTCAAGAAGCGCTGATCCGTCTTGCTTGTTTATGACCTTGCGTGTGGTGCTTTTACCTAACCTTGCTTTAACATCCTGGCTGTGATGGCTTTGATTTCCTACCGCATGGAGGGAGCAATTCTAGAAACCCCATGATGAGCGTGGCTTCGGCCAAAGAGCACTTGTGCCAGACCATCCTTCGTCAAGCCATGCTCCTTTCAAGCACAAGATCTGCAAAGCGCTTGGCTTAGTGGTTCTTAGTAGGGAATAAGGGAATATACCGCGTATATACAATAAGCCCTTTCTGATATATTATTCCCTTATTCCCCAATAACCCCAATATTTTTTGTGATTCAGGCCGGACTTGTCCAACCATCTCCTAGGAGGTGAAACGCTGCTTCAGCAACCCTTGGGGTGAGCTGGAGACAGGATTGCCTTGCAGGTCACTATCAGTTGGGTACTGCCCTCCTATTATCGGTGCAAAAGTAGTATGGGATATTTATAATTCTCACTATTTGGGATGTATATTGTATTAGGGTAATGCTTGGGTTATATTAGGGTTATATTGGGGTTTTATCACCCAACTGTTACTGACCGGGGGGGCAGCATCCAAACTATGAGCTCAGGGCAGTGGCAAGGGAGCCAACGCATGAGCACATGCTGGTTCAGAAAAGTGCATAATGTGAGGCATAGTCTAACCTCCTAGTATCCCCCTTAACAACGCCTCAAGTAGTCCCCTATACATTCCCTGATATAGCCCTCCTTTAAAGAGTTTAGACTACAGCTCATGTCAGTTCTGCGTTCTTCCGTTGCTCAACCGCCGGTTCCCTGAGAGTCTGACGCGTATGCTTGGCAGCTCACTCTGAGGATCAATACCGTCCGCAGTTCAGGGCGCCAATCCTGCTTACTTGGGGAATAAGAGTATACATAGACGCATATATATATATATGTATATGTATATACATAGAGAGTTTTGGATTCAGGCTGCAGTCAGAGCGCACAGGGTTAGAATGGGGATAATGGAAAAGAAAATGGACAACTACACTATACCATATTGAGATTACATAGGGATAACGTAACAGAAAATGGAAACTACTATAGTACATTGGGGCTATATAGGGATAACTCAAAAGACAAAACTACTGTAGTATATTGGGGTTATACACAGGGATAATGGAACAGCAAATGGAAACAGCTAGAGTCTGCTCTTTGGATTCCTTACGAAGCAGGACTTCGAAATATCTTGTGAAGAAGGGGGTCCCTCAACTTGGAAACTTCCAAATAACATGATGTACAAGGAGGAGTGACAAGGATTCTGGGCTAACGCCCTTCCTCCGAAACCCTCGATGCCTGAACCCAACATACACTCCACCCCAGGCTGGCTTCTGGGGACAGGACCAACAGGAAACTAAAATGGAAACTACTATAGTATATTGGGTTTATGCGGGGATAATGGAAAAGAAAATTGAAACTACAGGGAGCAAAGAAGGATGGCATGCCCAGAAACACCGAAAGCACAGGTAAACCTGAATGAACGATGCAAGTTCCTACGCATACGGATTCATGCCAGAAGTTGCAGTAAGAGTTTTGTTTTTTTTTACAACCCCTCGGACTTTTACGTCTGCCTTGAGGCAGTAAGAGTTTAGGGTTTAGGGTTTTTTGAGTAACAGTAAGGGAGCTGAGCATTGTCTTTCCCAGTATCCCTATATAACCCCAAGATACTTACTATAGTAGTTTCCACTTTCTTTTTCATTATCCCTATATAACCCTGATTTACTATATAGTAGTTTCCATTTTCTTTTCCATTAGCCCTATATAACCCTAATATACTCACTTACTAGAGTAGTTTCTTTTCCATTATCCCTATATAACCCTAATATACTTACAATAGTAGTTTCTTTTCCATTATCCCTATGTAACCCCAATATGCGTACTATATTAGTTTCCATGTTCTTTTCCACTGTCCCTTGCTGGAGTCGGCCTTCCAAAGTCCCGGTCTGTGCGCCCTGAAGGAGCACCAGCAGCCCGGATCCCCTGCAAAGAGACATAGTGAATAGCAATAATACTAGTGATGCTAATATTCATTTTATGCATCTTGAGAGCTCTGGCTTGTGGCTTTGCAGGGTTCGAGATGGAGATGGAGTATGGAGGGTTGAAACAGTTAAGCTCACCTGCAATGCCAGGGCCCCTACCCTTCGGTTAGTGATAGCCCTGCTGCGTGTGGGCCATCTTCAAAAGCCGCTTTGCGTCCGCGCCTCCTGTGGAGGCTGTGCTGCTTGTGACTTGGCTGTTTCTGCCAACAGGGCCTGGCCAAGAGATCAAAAGATCTGCGGGAATGGTTTTTGGAGGTGTGGCCTGTATCCAACCTTTCACCTACCAACACTATTGCTACTACCAGCTACAATCAACATGCTATACTTATTTGATGATCTTAGAACACAATATACACCTTCTAGATATTCTCGCCTCAAGAATGACTATGTCGCTCATTCGGACCAATGACAGGAAACACCTTATCCCCATGGATACCGCAAAGCTTCTAGCTCTTTTTCTGCTGCTGGGAACACCATGGCCTGCTTTGTGTTGGGATCATGGAAAGACAATGGAAGCTACTATACTGGGTTCTTTAGGGTGTAGGGTAAGGCAGAACTGCAGAACTTTGTCATGTCGTGATCTCTTGTCTCTCAGATTCTCTTGCTCAGCAAACAATGGCCGTTTGCTATTCATGCCAACAATATTTGCTGTCTCAATCTGTTACTTCAGAACGATATGGTAGTTTCCCAAATTAGGGGGACCCCTAAAAAAGACCACCCCCCCCCCATTTTTGGGAAATTCCTATGAAGACAGCCCTCAGACTTTCCAATCCTGCAATACTCAAAAAATCCCTGGGACTTACCTTGCTGGTGCTTATGGGGGAGTGAATATAGGGACTAATAAAGGGACATATATGGGGATTATTATAAGGATCCTCACTCTCCCTTAAGCACCAGCGAGTAAAGGTCTAGCCAACACAGACCCTATCATTCACACCCTGTAGGCAATTGTGTGCGTCGTGGTTGTCGTCATCGGGTTGATAGCAATGTGCAAGCAGTCGTTGCATCATAGTAGGTAGACGCAGTATTTGGCTGTGGTCGTAGTAGATGCTGGAGCTGTGGGTTTTAATGGTAGTTGCAGTGGCAGTTGCAGCCGTTGAGGAATGTCGTGCCGTCCTGCGCGGAGCCTGAATCGCAAAACCTGATTACTGTCTGGATGAGCTGAGCATGACCATTTTGTTGACAAATGCTCTTCACCCCTCGCGTATTGTCTCCAACCGCAAGATACCAGCAACTAGTTGCAATCGGTGAGAATGAATGTGTCTTCCGCTTCGCCAAGGCTCATTTCTGAGCGGGGGCCGGGAGCCGGGGATAACACCTCTTACTTCTGTAGAAGCTATCAACAATGTACCCTGGCCTTCCCTGCCCAACGTGCATACCATCCTTCTAAGAAACATGGAACCCCATATCGCCCTCTTTACAATATTATTCTCAGCCCAACCCCCAGGCCTCAGGACCGCCCTTGTTAAGCACACGCTGTGCCGTCAGGGTCGAACCCTGGCAGGGTCAGACTTGTCATGGAAAGCTGCGCTATTCTAAGAGGTGAAGCGGCGTGTACCCTAACCTGTGAACCTTTTCGAAAGCAGGTGAACTATCTATATATTTATATATATATACCTTGTAATACTATAGTAGCTTCCATTTTCTTTTCTATTGTTCCTATATAGCCCCTATACCCTAAACCCTGAGCCCTAAACCCTTAAACCCTAAACAGGTGGTTGAACCCTACATCCTAAGCTTTCCATGAATCTAGCGACCATGAACTAGGCAGAAAGCTGAATCCCCAGAGCTCGGCACACGCGCCACCTAAGATGGAAGCACGCAAGGCCTTTCGTCAAGGTTTTTCTATGAGCATCTTAAACCCTAGACTCATGATATCTCCGAATACTATAATCCTAATTATTGGGACCCTTAGAATGGTACCCCTAACTTTGGGAAACTCCCATATCTGCCTTGGTCTGGCCGATGCCTTTCCACTGCATGTGGGGCGGCGCTTCACGAACCTGCCGCGGGGATTGGATTTCTCCAGTCTCCCTGGTGCTTAACTAGACATCCGATTCCTGTAGTAGTTTCTGTGGAATCCCCTTTTCAGTGATAGTCCTCTATCCCATTCCACCCACCAAGCATCAGGCACTAGTGCTCCTAGACTTTGCAGGATCACTTCATCGCGTACGCTTTGATGTTGCCGCGTCGTGACGGAGAGGACTTCCAGCTTGAATTGCATTCTGTACTGGTGCTTAAGGAGGAGTGGGGAGGGAATCTAGGGTTTAGAATTTAGGCGCAGCATGATGTAGAGATCGTTATAGGGCACGTGTGAGCGCCGATGCATTGGAGCCATCCAGGTTTCCTTTTCACCTCCTCGAAAAATCAACCCCCTGGCCGCAAAAGTTATAAGCCTTCCCCGTACTATCTAAGTGGATTCCATATGAAATTTCTTAAGGTCACAGGCTGGAGGAGGGAACTACTTGGGGAGGGGATTAAAGTGGCACCTCCTTCTGTCTCACAAGGGAGGCATCTGGGTATACTTTACAAGGTCCAACCTGATTAATATTCAGAAAGAAACTTTCACACATGTTTTTGTCAGAGTGGGGGTTCTCACACATGTGGGGCCCAGCGCAGACCCCCATATACTACAACTACCATTGTTATTCATAGCCACCTCAGTCTTCACGCGACATCTCAAAAGGAGCCTTATATGGGTGGTTAAAATTAGAGTCCCATTTTCATACCCCTAAATATTAGGTGCCGTAATATAATCTATGGGCCCATAATTTTGGGAACTACCCATATACAGACACCAAACTGACCCTTTCACTCAAAGTAAATGGGGGTTTCCCAAAATTAGGTGTACCATTTTGGGGGTCCCAATAATTAAGGATTATAGT